TCTCCCAATTACTACTTATTGCCACGGATCAGCCGAAAAAGTTATGATATATGATAATATTATCGGAATCTTAACCGAATATGAGAAAAAAATATTCACTATAGCATACCTGGTCCAAGAAATAACCTGCAACTTGAGAAGGCTGAGATAATCAAACCTGGTTGCAACCTGACAGGATAAGGTGCGACAATCTCACAACTGATAATGTTGACGGCGCGTGGAACCCAAAAACTATGTCGCGCGGCGGAGGAAACCAAACTGAAGAACTAGAAACTGCTGTGCGCAAAAAGCTCGTGCGACCCAAACGGAGGAATTGAAGCGACCCGATTTGTGACGCTTCTTCAGTGCGCAAAAACTGATGCACAAGACACATAACATTGCAAATCAGTGGCTGTGAGAACGGCAACGCGATGTGCGAACCATTGAGCTGCGAAGAAGTGATGTGCAAACCAGAGAGCTACGAAAAAGAAGAACGACGCATACCGGGAGGCTGCGTGTGAAAGGCAGCATAAACAGCCGCACGTGAGTGGAGTAGGCAGTCAGGTACAGCTAAGAAAGTCACCAGAATAGGGCGCTGGCCACCGGTGAGATCAGTACTCTGGTTGGGTAGGTGTTGTGAAGATTTTAGGGTTTTGAAATAAACCCTGAAATTAAAACCCCAAAATGTCCTTATTTTGCTTTGATACCATGTAGAAATTTGGGAAAAATATTTACACTTTAGTTTTCTCTACCATTAGATGTTACAAATGATTCGTATATATACAAGACTTTCTAAGTACAAATAGGAAAATTTTGTTTGTAATAAAGATTTTAAATAATAATATCTTTATAGAGAAAATAAATTATAGGATTATATAAGAAAAAATATCATGGTAATTTAGGTAACAAAATTTTCGTGTCAACAGTAAAAATTTAAAAGGTGAGAAATAAAATTATTTTTTATCATAAAATAATATGGTATCAGAGCCAAATAAGGTTATTTTAGAGTTTTAATTTTAGGGTTTTCTTCAAACTCTAACATAACACAATAGCCTGAATTGGTACCAACTTATCCAAATCTATTATCATCATCACCTCAGATGGTGTCATAGACTGACTGACCTTGTTCCAAACCTATGACCAGATTTGAGATAGAGTGAAAGCCATATCAGAGGAAGAGAGGAAGCAGCGTCCGAAACCAGAAAGCTGGAGAGAGATTCATGTGCGAGTGGCAGCTAGCTGGCAAGGGCGTGCGACCGGCTTGTCCGGACAAATCTGGTCGGCAAAAGGCCCATGCATGTCGATCAGTGGCGGCATTTTTTC